TAGATATAGAAAGTCTGTGCTCATTGCAAGACCACATTCTAGTGGTCACTGTATCTCTTGTCGGTAAAATCCTAGAATTCTGTTTTGCTGCGGGGAAAGAAATCTTCGACAGTAATAAACAGCTATATTGGGCAAAAACGCTTGATACAAAGACTTTGAAAGCAAGATGTGTTTTAAGATATTCTATAAATAACGTTTTTTAGATAACATGATTTCACTTATCAAATACTTGTTCTACATAGACCAGTCAAATAATAAACAAACTTGCCAGTTGGGAAGATTTCTTTAAAAAGCTTCATTGATGGATGAAGTCAGTTCTATGCTCTCTGTCATTAGCATATTTGTGCAAGTAATAACATCAAAAGCATCTCCCTATACAAAAAAGGAAGACTCTTGCATTTCTATAATGCATGCAGAAAAGTAATACCACAGATACAGATGGGCATATATGTGCTAGGTTTCTTGCTATAAAAAAAACAATTGTTTTTCAGGAATTTCCTAGCATTTATGTGATTTAACGCCTGGGTTTTCTTTCTGTTGTTGTTTTGTTTGTTTTCATAGAATTGTAGAATGGTTTGTGTTGTAAGGGACCTTAAAAAAATCATCTAATTCCAAACCCCTCTGCCATGGGCAGGGACACCTTCCACTAGACCAGGTTGCCCAAATCCAGCCTGGCCTTGAACTAGTCCAGGGATCGGGCATCCACATCTTCTCTGGACAGTCTCTTCCAGTGCCTCACCACCCTCATAGTGAAGAATTTGTTCCTTATATCTAATCTAAACCTAGCCTCTTTTAGTTTAAAGTCCTTTGTCCTATCACAACATTCCTTGATACATATCCTTCCACATCCTTCCTCTAAGATCCCCTTAAGCACTGGAAGACCACAATACTGCTCACTGAAGATACTAGAGAAAGAAAGAGAGAGAGAGAGAGAGAGAGAGAGATTATATAAAAGATACTATTTTCTTTTATATTTATGGTCTTGTTTTAGAATTCCTAATTCAGGTGAAGGGATGTACAAAAGGTATAAGCATATCAGATCAGTGTATGAAATACTGTCAGAAGCCAAAAGTTTCTTATAGGTCCCTGCTGACATAGCACTTAATAAGAAGACATTTCAGCAGCACTTGTGTTTAACACATAAAAAAAAATAAAAAGAAAAAAAAAAAAAGGATTTTTTTTCCTCATTAAAAAATAACTACACTCCATTGAAACCCATGCTGAAGGAAAAGTTATTGTAATGCATTTATTTAACATCTAGATCCAGAATCAACAACAACCAGAATTTAAAGTCCACAGCTTCAGGTTCCTTATCATTTTGACAGCACCCAAAAGAGATTTCAAAGACACGTTCTTTTTTAAACATTAACCACAGAAAAACCTAGCTTTTTGACCTAGGTTAGACCTAGATTATTGCTAAAAACATAATCACTCTAAAAGCATGGATCTTTCAAGAACCTGATTGGACCATAGTAATTGTCTAACTTCCCTGTAAAACATTACCACAAGAAGTAATTTTTTTTCAACGTTATTTAAATTGCATTATTTACTCATTTTTAATGACATTGACCTTTAAAGACTTACAAGTAAAGAATAGAACGGAAAGGAAAGGAAAACCAGGACAACGAGACATTCTCAGAGAGACTCAACTGTCAGTTGCATTTTTTCTTCATTTATTTTAACATGTTTTTTAATGGGATTGATCACACTGTGGTGTTGGGTTTTTTTACCCCATCATCTCATCCAAAAATATTTTTTCTGATTACATAAATGTTCTCGTTACAGTTTTGGGCCAACACCCCAGAGCTAATTTGTACTAAGGTAGTAGGGTTGTTTAAAAGAAAATAACTGTTTAATTTACCCAAGTTTGGGGTTAATAAAAACATTTATTTTGGAATTAGAGTGCCCATGCATGGAATTACTCTTTAATCACTTTTATATAAATCATTTAATAACAGGTATAAAATGAGATAATATCTATAAAAGCAAAAATACAAAAAAAAAAAAAAAAAGTCCCCTTCACCATTTTGCTTTTTTAGCTGTGCACATAAGAAGTCAAACACCACAGATAATGCTTTGTTCACCAACATGCATCAAAATGCTCATTCCCTTTCTTGGGTATGTCAATGAATGGCTCTAAATGATAACGATGTGAACAGAGATGTAAATTTTGCAAAGAGAGAATACTCTTTTGCATGGCTAAAGTTGTCTTAACCAAGGGAAAAGATTCTAAAAACAACTGTGCTGACAAAGGAAGGTGAAATGAGAGTTACACCAACACCTAGCTTTAACTCTTACTACTTTCAGCATTTGATAAAATACCAAATAATAATCACAGAATCACAGAATACTAGGGATTGGAAAAGACCTTGAAATATCATCTAGTCCAATCCCCCTGCCAGAGCAGGAACACCTAAATCATGTCACACAGGAATGCATCCAGGTAGGTTTTGAAAGTCTTCAGAGAAGGAAGCTCTACAACCCTGCTGGGCAGCCTGTTCCAGAGTTCTCTCACCCTCACCATAAAAGTTTTGTCTCGTATTTAAGTGGAACTTCCCACGTTCCAGCTTGCACTCATTGCCCCTTGTCCTGTCACTGGGTGTCACCAAGAAGGGCCTGGCTCCGTCCTCCTGACATTTGTTCTTTACATATTTATAAATGTTAATAAGGTCACTCCTCATTCTCTCCTTCTGCAAGCTAAAGAGACCCAGCTTCCTCAGCCTTTCCTCGTAAGGGAGATGCTCCATCCCCTTACTCATCCTTGTGGCTCTGTACTGGACTCTGTCAAGCAGTTCCCTGTCCTTCTTGAACTGAAGGGCCCAGAACTGGATGCAATATTCTGGATGTGGTCTTACCAGGGGGAGACCCTAAAGAGGGAGGAGAATCTCTCTCAACCTACTAACCACACTCCTTTTCTAATACACCCCAGGATGCTACTGGCTTTCTTGGCCACAAGAGCACAGTGCTGGCTCATGGTCATCTGGCTGTCCACCAGGAACCCCAGGTCCCTCTCTCCTTCACTGCTTTCCAGCAGGGCAGTCCCCAACTTATACTGATGTCTGGGGTTGTTCTTGCCCAGATGCAGAACTCTATGCTTATCCTCATTATATTTCATTATGTTTCTCCCTAACCACTTCAACTTGTCGAGGTCCCGCTGGATGGCAGCACAGCCTTCCAGCGTGTCAGCCACTCCTCCCAGTTTAGTGTCATCAGCAAACTTGCTGATGGTGCACTCCATACCCTCATCCAAGTCGTCAATTAATATATTAAACAATACTGGTCCCAGTACCAAATCTTGAGGGATTCCACTATAGGAAATTCAGAAGAATCCATTAAAAAAAGACGAAAAGCAGTGGAACAAAGAATCAAGAAATAACAGAATGACTCAGAAAACTACTGGAAGTCCTTTAATAAAATTAGAAGTGAAAATGTTAAGCAAAAATTGCAGTATTATAAAACACTATAAAATATTTTAAACAAATTTAAAAATACTAAATATATACATAAAATAATTACTAAGTGTTAAATATATATTTAAAATATTTTTCTAAATTGCTTACTACATTTTCCAAATCTAGGCACAACATTTACAGATACAGATCAGTTTGATAAAGGGTTCAGTACTTACAAAATTTTCTGAAACAAATTAAAAATTCTATGTTAATTTAAGCGAGCATATCCCCTCATTCCAGATCTAATTTCAGTAGATATTAAAATGAGTGAAACCTTCCAAGTCTCATTCATTATCATTTAATGATATAAATTGAAAAGGACCTCTGGATGTCATCTGGTCCAACCTCCTGGTCATAGCCAGGCCAACTTAGAGCAGGTTGTGCAATAGGCACTGTACCATCTCTCAACCGTACTTACAGGTATTATGATTTAAAGAAACTAAGAGCATTGCAAACAAACGTACCATTGAATAAAGAAGAAAATAATGGAGCATTGTTATAGCTTTGATAAGTAGCACATACAGTCTTGACCTATATTTTAAAATGTACACCAAAATTCCTACATAATCATGTTCCCTGCTTCTACCAGAAGGTAGACATTAGCAAGTCAACATGTAATTTCATCATGTATACCTTGTAGCAATATCATTTTATTTTTATGAAGTATAAATCATTATACCAATGGTGCTTAAATGTTCAAACGCAACTTAAAAGTTCTCATTATTACTTGCATGCTGTATAGTTGTAATGATAAAAACATCTTTGTCTTTACAAATTTGATGAGATTTCTCTTAAATGCACCCGTAGAAAGTGCTGCATTTTCACACTTACTTTATTCTTGAAATCCCAGAAATAGAAGGCAGATTTCCCAGATTAAATTATTTAACCTGCACATGGATCAGGGCAATCCCAAGCACAGATACAGGCTGGGCAGAGAACTGATGGGCAGTTGTGGATGCCCCCACTGAAGTGTTCAAGGCCAGGTGGGATGGGGCTTTGAGCAACCTGGTCTAGTGGAATGTGTTCTTGCCCATGGCAGGGGGGTTGGAACTAGGTCATCTTTAAGGTCCTTTAAATGCAAACCATTCATTCTATGATACTTTGGTGATGCTTGATTATTTCACAACTTTGGGAAATTTTGTTCAAGACATTCAATGGCTCCAGTAGTTATATTGCCAAGTGCCGAGGCCCCCCTCCCAACACTTGGTTTCGCCATTTATTCTTGTCTATCTCCAACTTGCTACTACAACTGCTACTTACTGTCTCTTGGAGATCATAAGTCTTGATAAACCTATGTTTTCAAATAACATGGAGGTCCTTTTTACAAAGTGAAAACCAAACATTGCTGTAGTAATTATAAGCATATCGTATAAAATGGTCACTGTCAGAGCAGTAGAATACAGAAACTGTCAATGAAACCATTATTATTGTTGTCATAAATTGTACCTACTCATTTACTTTAATTCATGGTAAAACGGTGGGTTTTAGGTCCAAACATCTACACAACCAAAAGCTTCTTTAAAAAAAAAAAAAAAAAAAAACTCCTACCTGAGATGACATGAGATTACAGTCAATGTGCAGTCCTTTCCCTGTCTTATACCTCTGAAGCAAACCAGCCATAATTGCTCCGCATGCATACAACCCAGTAGCAAGATCTGTCATGGCTACTCCTACTCTAACAGGCTCACCCTCCTAAAGAAAAAAAGAAAACACCTCAATTGAAACCAAAAGAAACAAACAAAAACAATCAAGAAAAGGCAACACATTACTTTCTTTATAGCACATTCTAAATAAGACTTGTCTTCAAAATTGTTCACACGGATCTGCATTGCAAGCAGCAAGAGATTAAGAGTATCTTTGAATGAACTGAAACAAAAATTACCCCTGAAAAAGATACTCTTGCAGTATCCACACAATTCCATACCTGAAGATGCTGTAAAGCCTGCAAATTACAAATGATTTTTATGCTACTTTTTTCCCTATTATCATCAATGCTTCCGCTCATGAATACAAAAAGGAGAGATACTGTAAAGAAACAACAGAGTGAAAGCCAAAGATCAAAAGATTTCCACAGTACATTGGCCCAAGTACATAACTCCTTGCATGGCAGAACCATAGCTCTTTGCTCTTCTGTCTTCTTAGTTTGAAAATATTTTGAAATATGAAAATAAATCAGTTTGAAAAATTTCCAATATTTTTAAAGTGCAATTGATTTCAACCTTAACAGAGAAAATTATATTTTGAAGATATAAAAAACACAGTTATTTTAATAGACTGCTGCATTTGAATTTGTTTTCTCAATCCTTGATTCCAGTGCTTCCTTCCTCAAGTACCTAAACTTTTAAGGCTAACACTTCCTTTGCCTCTGTAAAAAGTTAACTTTTATTTATAAAAATATTTCCACAATTTCCCCTTAATCAAGAAATCAAGCTATTAACTCTGTACTGCTACGTTATTTTAAACATTGGCTTTAACTTCATTCTAACCCTCCACAATCTATAATTCTGTAGCAGCCTGAAAAATTTCCCTTCCCCTTTGTTGTCTAGTAATATAATTGAATAGCAGCCATTTTTCAATCAGCTTTTCATGTCCACCCTATGCCTTTTTTGTGATAGTATGCATGCTCTTACTACTGTGAAATAGGTTAATTTAGTTGTGTTTTTTTTTTTTTTTAATCTCTGTCCTGTTGAACAAGGGATATTAAGATGCTTTAGATGAAGGACGAAGCTCCATACATACAGATAAGTCTTCCTTTGTTGGAAAAACTTCTCATCAAAGGTGGAGTTTCTGACAGCACACTACAGTACTTCTGTAGCTAACACTGTACTAGTTCCCCAAGCAAAGTAAGGGCCTATACAATATCTTTACTTCAAACAAATGATTTTAAAGCAAAGCTCTTTCTCCCTACCCTAAAGTGACATTACTGTTCTAGTAGAAGAACAAAGTATATCCTCTGGTCAGTGAGAAAGTGGTTTAGGCCATGGCACTCATAGGCTGTGTTGAACTCCAGTTACGGGCAGCCCCAGGATGTGTCCTTTGCTCATTTGAACATAAGATCCATTCCAATAAAGCAGACCTTTTCTTCTGACACTGTGCTTTTCTATTGCTCAGTCTTACCACCAGTTCACTCTTTTATTCTCAACTTTTGCTGTTTGCTAAATTCCTTATGATTTGTCAACACAATCTGTCCCCAGGATAGCAACAACACATGGCTTTTTTTGTTGTTGTTGTTATTTGACATAAGACAATTTCTCTTCCCAAATTTACATCAGAAATACAAAAATCATCCTTTAGAAATTGAAATTATTTTGAAATGACATGCTTAATAAAAGTATTCTATGTCCAGTAGTCTTTACAGATGGGAAATAACTGCTAAAGCTAATATGAACCAGCAATGGCTATATTTTTTCAACAGCTCTGAGCTGTACACCATGAGTACTCTTTTGTTGCAGTTTGTTTGTTTTTAAGTTGAAGAATGGCCCCTCTGGTACTGTAGATCCCAATCATGCTTTGCTGTTCTGTGCTCAGTAAAGCAAAAATGCTTCTTCAGTAATAAAGAATGCTTACTACATAGGCTGCACCACCATAAAGATATCTAACATTCTGTGTAATGATCCACTTAGAGATCTAAAGGGAACTTGCATCCAAATTGTTTTTCATTTAATTATGTATAAGTTATTGCCCTAATGAGTCACTGAAATTTTCAAAAGAATATTCATCTGACACTAATATATCTCAATATGTTAAAGTACAAACTTTCTGTTCATCAAATACAAAATTTGAATGTGGTGTTTGGCCAATAACGTATCTATAAATTATGTCTTTCAGAACAATAAAAGTGCCATTAGTGTAAACTCAATCCTTTTAGCATATTTTAATTTATGTTTAAAAAAAAAAAAAAATGGCCTGCAGCATCAACTTTCAATTCAAAATGCATTTGTGGTACAGATTTACACAAAACAGATTCCACTCTGTTGCTTGTAAGTTTTTATACATACTAGAATTTTGGATTTTACAGGTGTCATAACACTTCTAATACAGAGGTAGTCAAATATATTAGCTTGAACAAGCTACAACAGCTTGAATTCCATGCAAGTCCCCCTATCTACACATGAAAATACAGTTTAAAGATAGCAATTCTACTCTACACTGAATGCGCTTGGTTTAGTACGATCAGCAAAAACACTAGCACAAACTAGTATGATCAGCTACATCACTAGTGCAAAGTTTGTGCCTTTAATTGTTATATTGCAAAAGACAGTTTGATTTCAAGATTCAGAAGTTTGCTTGGAAATCTTTCAAATATAGTTAGCACTATTTCAGTAACAGCTATTTCTTAGCAAAGTAAAAAGAGGTACGACACAACATTTCTTTATGATGGAATCTTCTCTCAGATCTTGAAAAATCATGTACAAAAGCACATAATCTTGTATTCTAGAGTTTTATACTGTGTGCCAAATGTGATACTGTTGTGTATTTTTGGTACATTCCACTTTAGTATTATATTTTTTCTTCCTTCACTATATCCTTAACGAAAAGGTAACTGAAAAAATACTCATTTTAGTCAGAAAATTTCTTCTTAGTTTCTTCCACTGTGATCTCTTTATTGCCTCAAAAAATAGTATTATATAAAATATTGCAGGGAAAAGAACGTTACAAACCATCAATTTTGTCACAGAAGTTTTACTCGAACCCCTGTGATGGTAATATATAGATTTCATGGAATACTATTTAGAATTTACTAACTGGAGGCATGGCTGCTCAGTACCCAAGAAAATTAAGTGATCTGCAACAGTAAACTGCTTTCTTAGACGTTAAATCAGCAGCCAGATGGCTGGAATAAAGTCAAACTCACAATATGGAATGTCTCTAAAATAAAATTCATGTTGCTATAAATTCTATCCATTTTTAAAATGTCAGATATAGAACATAACTTTTAGTATCCCATTATTAAAATGCTTCATGAGGAGCTCTAAATATGTATTAATACATGGTAAAACTAAGCCCCTTGGTGATGTATGCAGATGTTTTGTTTCTGCTGCTCAACCTCATAGTATGTCTACTACAGCTAAGACCTCTAAGACTGTCCTGTAAGCAGACTGAACAGCTTGTTTACGAAAAGAAAGTTTCCACAGAGCACCGTTATACTGATGTTATTGTGCTGATTATGAATAGCTACACCACAAGGCAATACAAAAACATTATCTGTTCTTTTTTTTTTTCCACCAGTTCACAAGACTAACATTTTCAATTTACTGTAAGGAATACAGTATAAATATACTGTAAAATAAAATAAAATGATCTAGTTTACTGGGGTGTGCTTCAGATCATTGTGTTATTTTCAGTATACAAATTCACATTATCTAGTCAACAAACAACGTTTTAATAAAGTACAAATCACAGAAGTGAGCAAAATTCTTTTTTCTTCTTTTGCCATTTCTCTACGTGCTGACTGAAATAAACTTTTTCTTCACTTTTCAGAGCTGGCAGTGTTTAAATTTCAACAAAATCAGACACACGTGTAAATATAGAACATGGGAATTTTACTTTAAAATAGCACTTTAAAAAGTAAAATTTTAAGCAAGCATACAGTGTGATTTTAAAAACATTTTGGTCATTTTTCACCACAACAAAAGACACACTTGAATCTTTGAAGCTGTTGACTATTTAAGTATTTGAAACAAAATTATCCATCTATACATCAGAAAATGCTTTTTAGAAACTGATAAAATACACAACCAATTTCAAATGAAGAAAAATAAGAAGCAATTTTTAGCATGTTTATTTTAATCACGCAAGAGAATGACCGAGTTTGAATGAATTGTTAAAAGTTCCCAGTGAATAGATGAAACTGTTACCAACAATGATTAAATGACTCTTGATTACATTGCCTTCAGTCCTGGTGAGGTGATGCAAACATCTGGATTCCCAGTGTAGGTCTTAACACAACCTTTTAATTAAAACCATCCTCATAAATGCCATGGAGGAATACTGCTCTCATAACACTTGTATTTTCTGTCATTTACATATTTAAAAACCTTACAAGAGTCTTGTGTTTTGGTTTTTTGTTTTGTTTTTCTCCCCTCAGCATTTTTAACACACTGTCCATACCCTTTTATTTAGCTGTTACTAATAACATTTGCCCTTTTATAACAATTTATACTTCTACCTAACCTTGTTCAGTCCATTTTGAAGTGGGCATGAAGTTTCTGGTGTTGTATTAGAAAGCAGTGAACTCTAGAATTACTGTGCTCAGTCACTGGTTAATATATATGCACCTTACACATCTGAAGGGAAGTATCTGTGAGGAGCACGTTCAACAATATTTTGTGTTTTGAGATGGAACACTCTATGAGTATCTAGCATTAACATAGCAGCAATGGGTGGTCTTAGGACACTAGGCATGAGATATTTCAGCTTCCTCAGTCAAATAATGTTCCACCTCAGAAAGACGACTGGTAACAATAGTAGTCTGGAGCACAGCATTCTGCTGTTTTGCCATTGTTCTCATGAGAAAACAAATCTACTGGCAGAATATCAGTCCTACAGTAATGTCTAGATCATCTGTGGTCAGCTTTCAACAACCCACTCAATAAATATGAATATCTGACACTAAGTACAGAAACTTGATGAGCTTCTTGTTTATTTAGGGCATGCAAGTGTCATACTGCAAAGATCCGCACTGCTGGTTCCAGACTATCAGGAACACAGAGGACTATCTAGTATTTATGACACAGAGAACAGACTTGTAGTACTACCTCACTTAAGAAATAACATTTGGAGACCACATTGCCTGCATCTTTAGGTGATTCAAAATGGCTTAAGTAAATGCCTATTTCACCAGTATTTTTCTCTGAGGTAAAGACACACATTCAATGTATTCCTGGAATCCAGATACCAAGTTACCTCTGTAATGCTTCCTGCACTGCTGCAGCTAACAAAGATCTTGGGTATCAGTGGGAATAGCAGCACATAAAGCTTTTCCAGAGCCACTAATGACATGTCTCTGGGTATTTTCAGGCAGGATGACTGAAAAGATACTTTGCCAGAGTTATCTGTATGGCTTCACAATTCCCTCTTTTAAGGGGCTGGTGTATTCACTATATAAAAGCACAGGTGAGGCTTCCTATACAAGTATGGCTCCATTATCCAGGAGTCAACAATGTGTCTATTATATCTCTTGAAGTGTCTGCAAGCTGCTTAACAAGTTACCATAAGTTATTGATAACTCATTCACCAAAAATTTAGGACACTGTTTTTCTTCCATTTTCTTCTTCTCAGGCCTTGGCATTGGGTTTGTGAGCGTGGCATGAGATACCTCAAGGGCATAAGTACTATCATTTTATTAGATTCACAGAAATAAGGCCTCTTGTTGGATTGTGGAGGGCATACATAATATATGTTAGCATAGACTAGCTTACTCCATACACTAGTCACTATAGGGCATGCCAAAGATTCTATTAAATTTAAAAGTTGATCACTGTACCTCATGCCCTGTGATATGCATGAGACCAGAAACAGCAGCTGCAATTGAGTCATATCCACCTCTCTGAACCATTGGACCAGTCTGACCATAACCTAAAACAGAAAAAGAGCAAATAGTAATTCAATCAAGAACAAGTACAACACTTATTATTTTAGAATGAAAAGAAATTGAACCAATTAATATTTCTCATAAGCTTCTGTTCACAAGTTGTCCAGACTGTACAACCAACAAATGTTTTTGTATTCTACTTATTCCTGCACATTTTTAAGAGTAAGTGGCTGTTTTAATCATGTGTTTGATGAGGAGGAGTTTGATCCTAATTCTAGATAGATTTCCTATCTCCTCTTTACTTCATTATGATCTTTCAACAACTATTGAAAAATCTTCATTGAGGAGATCTTCCTACATCAGGAAGATCCAGCTGAAGAAGTTACCAAATCCAGATATCAGCTCTGTCTCCCTTCCAGGAATTACCACCTCTCAGTCTAATAATTTTAGATTGAAATTGGAGACTGTAAATGCAATGTGCCTGTACAATGCAATGACACAGTGGTCAAAGCACCGTGGCTGGTTTCTTTTTGCTCTTCCTTTTATGGAAGTAGCGAACATCAGCACAGAGGGCAGAAGTCAACAGGGAATCAAAAAATGTTTGATTCCTACTATTTAAACTAATAGAAATTCTCAGAGCCTTTAGAAGTCAAAGATTTAAGTTTCTCCTCCTCCTTAAAGAGGTAACAAATTCAAAAGCTATTCTCATGCATTCTTTTCTCTTTTCAGAAAGGGTAATTAGGGTATTTCTCTAGCAGAAATACCCTAATTACAGGAGCAAACTGTTAGGAACTATATGTTACAGACAAGAATTCTAGTTTGGCTGGCACTTTTTATAGTGCAATGTTTCTATATCACTCTCATCTGTGAGAACAGTATTAAAATAAAAATATATCATCATGTACTGGCAAGATAAAAATTTCTCATTCTCCCAGAATGATCTTCTAGGAGCCTGTTTAGTAGATGTGACAGTCAAGATTGACTTTATTGATTACAGCACAAAATGAAAAGTCACAATGTATTGGGATAATCTTCAAGTCCTCCATTTGGACCAATGTTATGTACAAAATTCACACATGACTCCTAATGTACAGTGCAAGAGAATAATAATCACTTCTGAACTGCAGTTAAAATATTTTACTACCCCAGTATTTAGTAAATAATACAAAGAAAAACAATATCCAACAAACACACCAATTCTCCCCATTGTCCTACAGAATATCCTAATTTCCTGCTAGGACATTTTTTCTGGGAGACATCGGATCTCAGTTGTTCAAGGCTGTGAAAGAACTCAGCTTCCGCACTCAGTATTACAAGGGATATCAGGATACTACAGCCAACACAGACTTCATCAATGTAGCCTTAAAACAAATATTTCAGAAGAAAGGATTCCCACTTTTCTTATGGTCAAATCTATATATTATTGACTTCACTAATCAAAAGAGGGAAGAAAAAATTGCCAGTTTACTCACTCTTATTAAAAATTGTTTCTCTGGCACTGGCTAATGGGAAGATCCTAAAGAGCAACTAGTGACCTTTCCTTTTATACCTACACACTCAAGTTTACAAAAAGTAACAGTGTGCTGATTTGCAAGCATAACAGGATTTGCAAATAAAATATTGAACCCACCCCAAAATGCTCTGAATAGCTCCAAGCATATACCATTATCTCATTGAGATGAACTGTAGTATTAAAATCATTTAAATATGTGTGGGCCCACTTCAAAAACAAAATCTTGCTCAATAAAAAATATACTCAAAACAACTTTAATTGAATAGTGAAAAGCATATTGAAGTAAGTGAGAAATTATGCACTGACCTCAATTATTAACAAAGAAAAGACATCTCAACACATCTGCTCACAAAAGCATTTTCATAAACAGAAAACATCTGATAATTAAACATTTAGTATGTAGACAGAAAAACTATGAAGTTTGTCATTGCCAGAAGAGCATTGCAAAAACACCCATCCCTTAAACACTAAATTCAGGAAAGGTGACAGGCATTTCACACATTTTTCTAGTGGTATTTTAGAAATGTAGATTTTAAGTTCTTTTCCACACATGACAACAGCCTGGTTTCAAGACACAAGAGATTATTTGATGTCTTTCTGATTAAAATCACAGGTTGTAAAGGTGTGTCTGATTGGTTTTCAAAGGTCATAATAAAGTTAAAAGGGAAAAAATACATTATTCTGGTTTTAATTTAAAGTCTAAGTTGACAATGATACTGTTGGGGCAAAAATCTATTGTCATCGTAGATAGGTTGGCCCAGAAATGCCTGGAATAAAAGGAAGCCATCTAGCTGAAAAAGGTTGATTTGTGAAAATGAACAATCTCATTATCAAAAAAAAAAAAAAAGCTAAACATTATTATTTGAGTACACAGGTCACAGGTCAATGGAACAATGCAGTGCAGATGTTTTAGAAAAAAATAGGAATACAAATACATAAAGCTTGAAGGAGAACACACACTTTCAATCAGCTGAACTGATCACTAGACACGGTAACCCCCAGATGGATCTCCAAGTGCTTCTTAAGAATTGCCATTTTCAAAGCGTATACCTGCATAGCAAGCATTTGAAACCAGCAGAGCGCAAACTGCAAATGTCCACAAAAGGATTATGTGTTTATTCAGCAAAATCACTTCTATCTACGTCTTCCTAGAGCTGTGTTAAGCCTTCAGCCACGTCTACCTTCTGCATACAAAAGACTGCCTTAAAATGAACAGAATGTGAGACAAGTATGAAAGAACAAGTTGTGCTGGCTACCTTGTGTCAGCTTAAAGGAAACAAAAGCCTTTATGGAAAGTATTTAAAAGCAAATGTCATAGCCTTGCACAGGCAATCCTGTATCCCTTGTGATACATAAGTCAAGAATGGAAAAGTGGCCTTAGAGGATATATTTTGCATCCACGGTTTTTCAGAACTTCCCATGTAGCTGAAGACAAACTTGCAGTTGAAATATGACAGAGAAAATATCCTAATATCCTTAACTGAAGATTGCCACCCATTTCTTTTTGTTAGTATGCAGCATCATAACATACATTGTATGAATATTCAAAATGAAACACACTTAATATGACGTAAAGGATACATCTTTTTTTCCACTATCTTCCACTCACTGACACATACACACATACACCAAATCTGGGGGCATAGTACAATTACAGTTGCATAAACTAATGCTTGAGATGAAAAAGCAACTAAGATGGAATAATAATGCAGCTCACAGCTGTTCTAAAACACCTGCAGTTGCTTGAAGATCAAACCTTCAATATAGTGCAACAAGAGAAAGCTCAAGATGCCTAAAAAATATTTACGTAGCAAAACTGGAAGATAATTACATCAAAATAAACACTAAATTACTCAGAAATTAAGGTTCTCATCACTCATTGGGGACATTACAGAAGTAGTAACTTTATGCAATGCACTAATTGCAATTGATTGCAGATTTATTTGGTAAAGTGAGTCTCAGCAAGTTTCCCACAAACATTGGCAAGATACATCCATTCAGTTAGAGCTAGAGGTGAGACTGCTGCTATTATCTGACTAAATTATACAATTGTTAATACATTGCAACAATTGCTGACAAATGGAAAGACTATGTCTTTTCCCTGGATTTTTCTAGTCAGATCAGAGAGAACTAATAAAATAAAGGCACTCTTTATTGGGAAATAAAACTTAGCTGCTACCTCAGAGTTGGAGCAACATTCCTGCTCTGATGAAACGGGGCCAATTAGTGTGAAACAGAAGTCACCTCTGACACCATGAAGGTAATCATTTCTGTGACTAGTGTATGAGTGCCATGTGATGGCTCTCAAGCTTTGAAACATACCACAGGAAAAAAATGATAATATTTACAGGCATCATATGGGGTTATTTTTTTCCCAAACTTTCCAATGTCATAACAAACGACTGCTAGTTTATCCACTTAAATACAATCAAAATTGTTAGAATATATTCATCACATGAGACACACTCTGCTTTGGAATCCACCCTAAATAGTTCTGTTCTGGGACAGAAATAAATATTATGAAGTGAGAAAGGTCAGGATGAAGATTAGGAAAAATGCAATAACAGTAAAAGCTGTTAGACTGCACAAAAGTATTATTAGTAAAGCTGCCAAATGCCAGATGCTCAAAAATGTCACATTAAATTTAAAAATGCTAGCAAAAACTGTGTCCAAAAAGAACTCTGTTAGAAAAACAGACTAATGTATCTTCCCAGGTTTAGCTTTATAATACCATGTCAGCTACAACATAGCTTTAATTCATTTTTGCCAGATGACAGTGGGATTTTTAGCTACATTTATGGCAGGCATTCTTCATAAATTTTAAGAAAGCAGGCAAACCAAATAAACAACTATGTCCCAGACGCACTTCCATGTGTCTGTAGATCTCATGCTATTCCAAGTCGTGTTCTGAACATGCGTTTGGACACTCCATTTGCTTACTTAGGAGTTACTGATGATATGATGACAGAATTCCTAACATGTGTATAAAAACAGTTCAACTAGAAGCCGCATGCAAGCATCTGGGATAAACAGACTCCAATGTGTTACAGTATCATCACTTAAATGAAAATCACCTTAAAAAAATATATATATATAAATTTTTATATATATATATATATATATATATATATAATATATAATATATTATTATTATAATATTATTGTATTATATTATTATTATATATAATATATATATTGATTTATATATATATATAAATATATATATATATTTTTAATGTGGGTAACCTTTGATTTGTTTGGGATTTTTACAAGGGTTAACAAAAATACTTCTTCATTTCTGATGTTGTTGTACAATTGATTCATATTTGATTATTTTTTTTTTTAACACTTTTCCCAGGGTACTGGTCACTTAAACAGTGTGCACCATCCAAAAAGCAACAGAGAAAGAAGTTTAAAAAAAATAATAATGCATAACTAAAAGCACAAAAACTGGAAGGGAAAAAAAGCACTAGTGCAACACACTTATTTCTTTAATACCATTTGCTTTCAAGCTAATGATGGCCCAGCAAT